ACTTTGACCGAACTCAATCGAGCGATTGGGCGCGGCAATACACTATATGTATGTGCGTACGAGCCCTAGGTAAACATTAGTTTGATGCTGCATTCATTTTCGAGTTCTTGGCTCACTGACGCATTGGGCGTCTTCCTAAGTCTTGAATCACTTTTCGATAGGATAGTTCGCTCACGCATTCGATTTCAGACTCTGAAGAAGGCGATACCGCCGAAGTGTCAATCGAATAAAGGATATATCAATCCCGGTGTACAGCCAAACAAGCCACAACAAGCATCTGCAACATGCCGAGATTAATCGAGAGTCGAACCTGGACAATTCTCAATGCTTTGGTTTTGAAAGGTTATCGAACGTAAACTTTTTAGATTTAGAAAAACTTTATGTCTCATTAGTCGGTATACCATTCGAAAGTTTGAAACATATAAACGAGACGTAGACCGTCTTCATTTCTCCACCCCTCCCGTGAAGTCACATGTAGAATTTTTTATCTAGCTGTAGCATTAAGTGATTTTATACAATCACTTTGCGCTCCATTTCTGAAAGTAAGAAAGAAGCTATAAAAAAAGAGATGGTTTACGTTTATTGGAAAAGTCTTGCCCTCACAAAAACACGCATCTTTTCTGATCAAATGTTCTGTACCTCCAAGTAGATAGACGGACGTTAAGAAAAAAAAGACGATCTACGTTAAATCCCCGTTTCGTGAGCTTTCTAACGGTATATATGTTGAATGAAAAAACTTGTGGCTTTTCAAAAATGGGTGGACATACTTACTACGAGCTGGAATCCCGGGTTCCACCCCGGTTTGGAGCTACTTCATCGTGCTACCTCTCATGCAGCGAAACTTATCCTTCTTTTGATTTCGCCTCGTCCTGGGTTCGCTTCCTACCGTCCTCATCATGTTTTAATGGCCAGCAGATCAAAGTGAGCTTCACCGCTCATTCCTCGTGGTTATGGGGATTGTGCAAAGACATACAAGTTTTCTGCTTTGTATATATAGAGAGATTAGCCTGCTCCATCCGCTTCTTAATGGCTTGGCCTTCATGGGTCGCCGAAGCAAGACTTTTTCGGAGCGCAAAGCTTATGCACCAACAGCTTATATGCCATTCGATAGCTAAGAGCACGACAAATCGAGTTTTACGAAGCGGGACATGATGAGTTCTATCCGACTACGATATCAGTTTCTTGAATTATTTCATGCTTTATTTTTTTTGAACGGAAAGGTATTTTTCAGTCCTCGCATGTGGATGGAAAGTTCTAAAATTGAGGAATCTAACTGCTCCCTTGTTTTCTATCAGCTCCTCTAGTAGAGAATATATTTCGATTCTTCTCAGTGAGCATGGATCCATCATTGGACAAACCAGACTTCCTACTTTTGCACAATTCTTCCTCGCGGCAATGTATCATTGGACAGTGTTGCTTATTCAAAGAACCAGGAGTGGTAGTAATATGGTCGAAACCATCATGTTAACTGTGTTTTCATGACACCAGCTAACCAGCAGCTTCACATCATTTTCTCAACGAAACCTCGAATTAACCAGTAGGAAACCTTGAAATGCTATCTTGCAAACAAAGTCATTGGAGGAGATCGAAACTCCAATCATTCTCATGCTTGTCGGCAATCATTGCACTTTACCAAATTTGCAGTTCGGTCTCCAGCCTTGCAGCTTCCTATAACCTTATCTAAGCTGTAAACAAGTAAGCTTTCTCATAGTAAGTTGCAGAATGATCTCCCTCACTCTTCTTAACTTGCAAAACCAACACATCATTGTTTTATACGAAAAAATGGTCGGGGGTACTTTTTCATTTCAAACTATGATGTGGTGGTTTCACGTCTGCGTCTCATGAAATGAAGCGCTGTTTTCATTACTCTATCTGATGAGGGAACAATGGTGTTGATCTGCTGTTTAACTCATAGTTTGGTTTAGAATGAAACAAGCATGAAACAGTTATGGTTTTCTGCTAGTTACATGCTTGTTTCATGATTTTGTATGACCGATTGAACTGAGTGGCCGTGAAAAGATGATCATGCTTACCACGATGTAACCATGATTGAACTATCACATCATTTGTTGGTTTCGACCAAATTACTACCACTCCAGACATTTCCTAAATTTTTAGGTTTGCTTCGCTAACAAAACTAAACCACTTTGAGTGAGACGGAAAATCTCAAACATGCGTTTTTCCCAGCAAACACTGAGAAAGTACAGCATGCATTGACTTAAAAGAAGCAGCAGCTGGCGATCCCAAACAAACTATTTATCATTTATGGTAGGTGTTCAATTCTGTCGTTATGCCTTGACCCTAGTTTCAACTTTAGGTGAAGGGGGCCATCCAGATGCCGGCCCAATGTGAAGGGGCAGAGAAATTGCTCCGCCTATTGCATCTATGATCTGAGATATCTGCGAGATGAACAGCAAAGATAGTTCACAGATAATAAGTCATGCGTTGGCTTCTTTTCTTAAGAGCATGGTGTCTTGTTTCTGCTACTACTTGTGAAACGCGAAATGTCGATGAGAAGATGAAAATTCTGTTCCTTGAGATTCTTAATTAAACGCAGGCAGATATATCAACGTATCTGCCCCACCCATTTACTAGCTACCTGTAGAGTCGCTAGTATCATGACTTATAATAACGGGCTAAGGGTTGTTTACGTCTTTTTGTACGTGTGTGTGTGTGTGTCTGTCTGTCCGTTACGAAATTCATAGAGCGTGTTCCAGCAAACGTTCTAAGCCCAAATTTTGCATAGCGCATGCTACCTTCATGGAAGCCCAATATGCAAAAGCACGAGTAGATTCGTTGAGTGGATCCCTCAGAAATTGCGCGCCAAACGGGTCCACCTGGCTTCTGTACCGCAAAATTCGGTCCGTATCACCACTTTTTGCAGAGTCGTGGATGAGTTTGGTTAGCAAATGTGCAAAGGATGGAGTTTAGCCGGAAAAGTGGTCGAAAGTTTACTACATAACGAAAACGGCGCCAAAACGAATTGGTTGTGTAGATGGTCAATTTGCCAAGGTTCTAGCTAAGCGTTTGAGAAGATTTTCGCACAGAGATGTAGCTCACGGTTATCATTACCTTCATGGCGACTACCAAGTAATGACAAATCCAAAAATCTATTCGAATTTGCGTTTGTTTTCCTGCGAAAAGTTTCATCCACGCGAAATCACCGATCTCACGTGAAAAGACTTTCTAAATGAGTGGTTGTTTACATTTTATTTGTGGTAGTCGGCATAGCGCGGTGAGTTCCAGTGCCATGATTTTACGAGAATGAGTAAGGCACATAGATAGTAGAGCCAGTGCGAACCTCTGCGAAGCAGAGGTGACGCACTGGTTATATATAAAGCTGAATGTCTGTTTGTCTGTATGTACGTTTGTATGTCTGTACGTTTGTATGTCTGTACGTTTCAAAAGAAATTTTATTATCGACTAGAAATTTCTATTTCTAAACCGATCCGGGACAAAACTTTGCACACATATACTTCGGGTGTGGGGGGGGGGGGGTGTCGTAGGTTACTTTTCGTCATCGATCGACATTGATTTTATCGATTCTTATGTTTTTTTTGTAAAGTTTGACCTGCGGGGCTGGAATTTGGCACAAAGGGGCAGGGCTCGGCACGAGTTGGCACCAGGGAAATTTCAAAACGAAGTCCCGTCTGATATTGAAAATTTCGTACGAAGTCCCTTTTGACCTGTTTTGACCCGTCATCATTTTTATATTATGTAAAAAATGTAGTAGTGTTTTCATGCATTTCTGATTTCATTAGAGAACTTTTCACAGCTTTCTGAGCTTTTCAAGTGGTCGAATCACATCTTGAGAAGCAGAAAGAGCCGATTTTTCGACTGCGGAGCGGGCCGAGTGGTTTTCAAATTGCTATAAAACGCTGAAAAGAGAACATTATGAAACTGTTTCTTCTCCGTATGTAATCTTTTACAGTGTAGATACATTTTATGTAAAAAAGTATGAAAACTTATGTGAGCAAAGTGTCGGTGCCAGCTCAGCTGGCACCCAGCTGGCACGGTGCCAGCTAATTCAGAAAAAAGTTAGGCACAGCTTTCATTCACATAAGTTATCATAAATTTTTGGCCTGTAGTTCCGGTCCACCAACGCGCATGCACACACCAAATTTGGTGTCATACTATTGCGTTTTGGCTGAAAACAACGCCTTTGTTAGTTGATGGACAGCTTGCCAATGGCATGCCGGTAGCATGCCGGCGGCATTTTTGCGGCAGTTCTCTGCCTCGGCCCCTGTATAAACGATATCTCCTTTGCTTTCCGCGCTAAAAACGATATCCAGCTTGACCCGGTGCCAGCTGTGCTGAGTCCTGCAAAGGGGGGGGGGGGGGGGTAATCGAGCATACTGATTACGAATACAATAGTAGTTTTGAAAATCAACTGCTGCTCTTATCAATTTTTTCAACTTGTTTGTAAAGTTTGACCTGCGGGGCTGGGATTTGGCACGGAGGGGAGGGAAGGGGGTTAATCGAACATGCTGATTACGAATACAATAGTAGTTTTGGAAAACTGCTGCTTTTATCGATTTTTTCAACTTTTTTGTAAAGTTTGAGCCACGGGGCTGGGAGTTGACACGGAGGGGGGGGGGGAGGAGGTTAATCGAACATGCTGATTACGAATACGACATTAGTTTTTAGAAATATCCGTTACTTTTGTTAATTTTATCGATTTCTTTTGCAAAGTTTGAGTAACGGGTTGGGAGTTGGCACAAAGTGGGCAGCTGATTACTAACACAGCGGGAATAGGGAACTGGCATGTAGAAGTGGACACAGGAAAAGATTGTGCAGGGATAGAAGTGAAACCTTTGACGCAGTGTTTTGACAGGTCCGGGCGGAGCCGGGTAAGCCAGTTAGTCTCAAATAAGAGCAAAAGGTGCACTTTCCTGCCGTGTAAAATGTTCACTCTAACAACGAGTTTTTAGCACAAAAAGTCCATTTCATAACTGGCTAATCAATTGTGATTGTCACTTTACAAGTTTCGGAAATGTTTATTTGGTATACAATGCATATCAGTGAGAAAATTTGAAAATACTGCTTGTCGTATATATAACTGAAGCTGATTTTTAGACTACTTGCAATTTTTAGCGTTCGATCAAAAGTTGTTCCGGCTCGTTGTAGAAGGAACAAAAAGGTGCATTTGAGTAGGACAGCGGGCGCAAGATTATGGTAGCAAACATAGGCATCGGCGGCGGAGTGACTGTCATGGTGTTCGGAGCATATCAGACACTAATTTGCTGTTGGTGTGCCGGCTGCTTCACTTCCCCCGTGATTGGGTTTCGAGCTGAAATAAGAGAGTTCCGTGATGTTTCAAAGACTATAATTTTCATGTTTATTGAGGCTCCGCGCAGAACAGATCTCATCCTGACTCGCAAATCTATGTTCGAATGGATGTGTTTCGCGCATCGTTAGTTGACTCATGTTAGAGTGCTTGTTGTTGGCTTTCAGTAATAGAATGAGCCCAGTCAAAATTCCTCACTTAATGTACTCACAAAGGGCTGATTTTATCTCATTGTCAGTAACTTGGCAGTTTCAGAGTTTGTTTTCAGAGTATATGCTTTTTTTCTCTCGAAGAGCTGAGTTAATCTGCTTGAAGTAAAAAAAAAACAACTTTTGCTTCTTTAGACACTAGATCTTCGCCAAAAGCTTAACATTTTCATTTGTTTATGAACTTATCATCCTGGGAGCCCTAAGTAAGGCAAAACAAAAGTTGTCTGTCTCAACAAACAACGATACATTTAAGCCACATTTTCATCGAGTAAGAGGCGATGACATAGTTCCACAAAGTTTTTTTTAACTAATCTGATATTATTTCAGGTGAAGTTTGTTTGGATTACATTTTTAGACCGCAGCAAAGTAGCAGTTTTCAGTGTGACGTAAAAAATTTGCTCCTTCCTCCTTGTTTGCTCTCCGAAAAAGTGTCGTTATCAAATTACTATTCTATGTTTTCTGCTTGATGTTCCATCATCAATTTCGCGTTTATTCGAGGACGTTGAGATAGAGACAAAAATAGTTCAGAAAAGATAGTGAGTGTTTTGGCTAAAAGAAAACTTACCGAGTGCGGGAATCGTTTTCTTGGGGGTTCGCTGTGGCGAAGTAGGAGGAGCGGTATCGAAAATAGTCGACTTGAAGGTCGGATTCACCTAGAATAGCAGGTATACAGCAGTCGCTGCTGGCAAGTAAGAAGAGAGTGAGTGACCTTTTTTGGAGATGGTTTCGAAACTTCTGAGCCAAAGAGACGATCGCGTGTGTTGATCTGATGCTGGAAAATGCACATAATTTTAGGAAAAGGCAATGATGGCCTCGTATTTCGGAAAAGCTTGTACATATCGTGTACTAATCGCCCGCACCCTTCTTAAACATAAGCATGGGCGTGCGTGAGAGACTGTAAGCGGTCATTCGTTCGAAGATTTCCTCCATGGCAATGTACGTTATATGTGAAGGTGCGCGCTCATTGCTTCCGACAAGCTTATGACGCTTCATCCAATTCAATTATTCGGTGTCGTTTTCAAGCGCTTCGCTTGTCGATGGCCAAACTTAGGAGTGGACGGTAAGATTCTATTCAGCATTTTTCTATAACGATGAGTAGTAAGGCGCAAGCTACATGAAAAGCTTTCTGCACGAATGACCTCGTTTTTCGGAACTCTTGCTCTGCTGCCGTGCCATTTGCACCTGTGCATAAGTGTTCCATGTCATATCCTGCATAATTGACTGTTTGAGGCACATTCACTCTGAACCCGCGTCTGTTTACTAGTAATAATCGGAACCGCTGGATACGAATTTAAGCCGCTCCAGTGAGCTGAAAACGTGCTGTTGTTTTGCAAATTACTTCAACGCCTCTACGGCTCAGTCAAGCATCGTGTTCCTTGAATGGCGTTTTTACATAGAACCTTTCTTAGACTGGAACCTTATATGTAATCAACCCGTTCGGAGAGGTTCATACCAACCCTCTTCTTCTGTTTGGACTAGCCAACGCTACATCGATTCGGCACTTCCTGAGTTTCACGCAAATGGCAGCATTGACCGCTCAATGACGCGAAATACGTTTTGGCCGCGTATAGAGAATGAACGTGTTGCACTTTTTGGATTCATAGCTGTGGCTTTCAATGAGGATGAAAATCAAAGTGAATTTTGAGTGAAACATATAAGCCAGTAATTATAGCACGTCTATTCTAAAACAGGATGCTCGAGAGCACTGACGCACACGTTCTCTAACAATCTCGATCTCGTTCTTTACCTGATTTTGGTGGCAAACCGCCAAGATAAGGCAGATACAAGAGCTGACCTTCGCCACACTTGCGCAGAGCTTCTCGGGTGTCAGCACAAGGTGGCTTTCCGTGCAACACTGACATTTGCTAAATTTTACGAAGTTCCCTTTGAACCTTATCCAAAATATTCGAGCCAATTAAAAAAAACGAAACGTCGACTAAGAAAACCCTAAGGCCCCCAAAACAATATCCCCTTTTCTTTTTATTCCAAAAACGATATCCATTTGCTTATAAGTCACGTGTGCCGAGCCCGGATCCTAGCCACAGAATGGATGGTACTTCGTCTCATTTATTATAGATTTTTCTGTACTAACTGCAACTTCATATCTGCTCACTCGTCTGCTTTGGAAATGAAGCATTCACCAATGACTAAACCGCTTGCCTTTATTGTATTGGCTTTGCAAATAAGCACCTGCGATTGTGCTGTCTACTGCATGGTCACTTTTGATCTTTTGATGCATCAATCTTTGTGCATAGTTGAAGTATTAAACGAGTGGCTACGGTCCGCAAACAAAACTGAGATATGAGGGTTTCTGGGTTACAGAATTCAATTTAGGAGAGTATGTTTTACTTATTTTATGTTGTATTTGTCAGCAAGCAAAGAGAATAAGATTGCGTCAAAACACAATATGGTATGCATTTTATCAAGAGGGTCGGATTCGAATTTGTAGCAAAAGCGAAATTGCCTTTTACAAGATGGTGCAGATAAAGTTCGAAATAGGTTAGCTTTTAGTTGGAAACGGAGCTGTGAGCCTCATGGGAATTCTCCGTCAGACAAAGGGAAGCAAAGCTTTCTGCAACTTTTTTACTTTTTTCTATCCGAGTATCGATGTTTCTTACTGGAAGCTCTCTTGCGCTACCACTATTTTCAAATGTCTCATTAGGTCGTTTGTAAGTCTCCAGAAAATGATGGATCTTTTGGGAGCGAGAAGGCATTTGGATTTACTGAAAGGGATAGATCCAACACGATCTTTTTTCGCTACTACAATATTTATTTACTTGCCGCTATGAATTGAGATGAAATTGTAGAATTAGTGAATGGATTGTCTCTTTACAATGAAAGCTTTAGTCTAACTATCGCATGTCAATGTTTGCAATTGCACCTTATTTATATTGCGCGAAACTATCCTGAATCTCCCCACTGAATGATACACTTTTATGGCACGTGAAGATCAGACGGAAATTGCTAAAAAGCATTTATTTTGATTCTTAACCATCGCATCGGTATGGAACGCGTAATATGGACGGTGTGTGCACGTCGCATTATGGAATAGAAATGACTCGACTGTAAGCATCGAATTTGCACGAGCTATGCAGTCCCAGTTTCCACCCTAGCAAATTTATCCACAATGTGACTCGAAGTTTGCCTCACACTGATGGATGTGAGCGCAGGGGGGGGGGAACAACGCCCAGCGCTTCGCGCTTGATTGTCAGTGTTTTGCAATGTTGCTCTCTAGAGAATGGCAAGTCGAGAACGATTGTCGGCGCTGGAATTTGCTTCACTACTCATAAACATAATGAACTATTGAATTCGGAGATTGAATGAACGATATGAGTTCAACGATTCTCAACGATTCAGACGCACACTTACTTCTCTTGTTTGAGAAATTTGTCGGAAGTTGGACATTGACGGGAGACAATATCCATAGCGCAATTGCGATATTTATGCTTTAGTATGAGACGAAATCGCTAAAATATGGATTCCACTGAGAAAGCGTGTACTGGAGTGCATGCCAAGTATATGAACACAACCCCCTAAACTTTTGTTCAGCAACGCATGCGTTTAGCAGCGATGCGGACTTCTAGAGTGCGAGCTATGTGAAACCTGTACATGTAAAAGACCACTGTCTGTGTGTAGCAGATATTTCGTCATCTCTTGATGACACGTTTTTTGAGATGCCAGTATCCACTGTGAAATCTTATAGCTTAGAGAAACGGCAAGGCAAGATTGGCTTTTTGGGAGGATGGACAAGTACTGAGCTTCAAGATTGCATCGTGTTCCGTTTCGTTTTTAAATTGCTGCTGTTTCGCAAATTACTTAAAACATAGCTCCAATCAAAAATTAAAGAAGTATCAAGAAAAGCTTGAATCAAGAAGCACGAAGAGTAGTTGATGGCTTTTGACAAAAAAAAAACACTTTCAAACACATCTTTGTGCTGAAAAAATGTTGCGAAGATTTGATTCATCTGATGGCTAAGGAAAACGCAATCATTCTTGATATCCAAGTTATCTTTCACACTATACAATGGTCCTCGGCAAAAAAAGTTATTAAATTTTGCAAACATCATCAACGCTTTCTCGCTCCTCTCTTGAGACGAGAAATGTTTTGGCAGACTTGTTCCACCAATTGTCTATTTAGCATAAACTCTGCATCCGCCATGCTTTCAAGTGCTTAGAGACAAACATTGGTTATTTGTTCACTAATAAGCAGTTCACAATATTTGGTCGGAACTCTGTGGCAGCAAAGAATGGATACACAAGAGCACGAAGAGTTGAAATGAAACTATGAGCAGCGATAGTGAATTAATTGTGAACGACTTCTATAACGCGCCTTAGTGGGAACTAAAACTAAGAAGTTAGGAATCCTGTCCTGCTTATCTCAAATACTCTATTTCTCCCTCATTTTGTTCGCCCACTAAAACTTAATCGATCAGCTTTTGACTTGGCAGCAAGCTAGAGTTGTGTCCACTAACTTACCGACGGTGTAGTGACTTGAGCAGGTGTCGACGCTGGAGCAGGGCTTTCACTGGGAGGGGTAGACTGGTCAGACATGGTGGACGAACGATGCAGCTGGCGTCTGGACTCGCTTTTAGACGAAGATGACGACAAACGGGTGGAGCCGAAGCCGGTGGGGCGGGCACTAGAGGGGCGGAACGAGGCGGCCCGGCTGCGCCACGCAAGGCCGATCCCAAACGACACCGACTCGCACGGCGTGATCTGGTTATACCATATATTGCTAGACTTAGCACTGAAAAAAGAAGGCGACGCTAATGAAATACGCTTGACCGAATTATCGACGAGGGCCTGATACGCGGTCTTTTTGATTCGCCAAAACAGTGTGGAGCAAAATAAAATTTTATCCGCTCACCCGCGTCCTTGTTGCAATATTTGCACAAATATTTGTAAATTTCAGATGTATTCCACTGCTGTTCGGAATTTCAACTTTGCAACTTGGTAAAAATTGCCCACTTAATGACACTCATTTACAGTCAAGACTCTTGTATCTCAGAGTGTGCATCCCGCGCGGTACATGTATGTGCAAATTGTCATTTGGGAAGAAAGTTTTTCTTTTTCGAGTGTCAGCAGCTGGAACAGATGCGACTTGCCATTCTTCAAGAATTCCTTTCGGAGCAATAGTTCCAACAACTACCTGTAAGATTCAGCAGGTATTGACATTCCACGTTTTCTTCACTGTGAAGTGTTCCCAAGTGGCGGATCCATTGTTGTCACATAAAACACGCAGAAATTTGATCAATTTCATTTTACATCCAATCATGCGAAGCTCCGCAGCTGCACAAACTCATTTATGTCCTCGCACAAAAGGCGCAAATGTTCCTTCATTAAAAACCCATATCTCAATGATCGTTTAGAACGCATAATTATGTTGCTTCAAATCCCCCACCGATAAGAACCTCGCCGGAGCGGACATACCAAAACTTTATAATTAACCAGAACTCATTTTGGTTGTCAAGTTTCCGGTAATTGTAACGGCGAGATCACTGCGATCAGAGGTTGTTTGGTAATATCAGCTACAGTCTGTGTCAAATGCGAACTCCCTATGCATCCGCAAGATCGTCACGCCTCAGCTTCGCATCACTCCGCACTCGTTTAATTTGGGCCTCAAATTGCTTCATCGATAGAAGTTGCATGCAAAACTCCCTTTGCGGGAGGTTGATTCATTCAGTATAGGCTAATCATAAAATTGTGACAATGGCGGCGGATATAATGCAAGAGGAAGGATAGATTGCCAAACGCTGCTGCCAATGCATAGCGAATTTTCTTTGCCTTACAGATCATGTATTTTATACCTAGTGGAAATGGGTGGAGCTGAGATACATCAGATTAGATTCCCGCTCAGTAAAATGTCCCAAGAAACTGCGATTAAATTTATGCGTAAACAAATAGCTGTAATGCCTATAATGCTGGCGCATCTATTTGTTCACGTGCAAATTTTACGCATTCTTTCGGCAACGCAAGCACACTATGTACGGAAAAAGTACCTTATTTGTTTTGATCAATAGGTACTTAAAGGCGGGTGATAACTGCGATTTTGTGATGCCATAGCAAGAAAAAAATATTTGATGTGTTTGGTTTTTCAGCCTGTAAGCTTTTTGCCTTCGAATTTTCACAACTCATTTCCAAGCAAACAAATTCCACTCAACTCTCCGGTCTAACTGAAAGCATAAAAGAAAGAGATGCTCTAAATTATTGCGTGCGAATGGACAAAGAGGGTGAAAGATCGCTCTTTTTGCCAGCTACTGCTATCGTTCCTCTTGTTCGCTATCCAACGGTGTCGCCCGCACGCGCTGTTTCTGCATTCGCAATCTCTTGCCTTTCTTCTCCTCAGAACATTTTTTCGCACGCAAATGATAGTTAGTAGATACTTGTACTGACTGAGCTGTGCACTAGAGTGATGCCCTTTACATGGATGCTATATGCTTTTGTGAAAAACGCGCGCAAAGACAGCAGTCGAATACGTTATCACGATTTGATGAATTCCTTTGCATTTGACAAACCGCAGAAGTTTCTTCCAAATTTGATTTCACAAGCAGTGAATGGCCCTTTGAGCTCGCTCACCTTCTCTCTTCACAGATAAATATCTGGAAATGTGTCTGAAGAAGACTGGCAAGGTGCTCATAGATAGTGCGGACTTCGTGGGGCTCATAGATCAATTAAGACTTATCCTATGGCAAAGTGCATGTGAATAAATCGCAAGGAACTTGTGCTATATTGGGATATCCTCGAGAAGAGATTACTTTGGCCCGGTGCATAATTCACGCGAATTGAGTAGCAACGCGATCTGGTAGTACTTCAAAATGTCCATAATTCGTTGTAAGCGCATTATGCACAGAAGATACGGCATTTTATCAATCCAAGAATGTAGTTTTTGTATGCCAGTGTACGATTCGAGAACATCTAACTGCCAAATCGAGTCGCGAAAAATCGCGTCAACTATGTCCGATGTCTTAGATGTATGAACGAGCCATCACCACGCAGAGACCGACGACTAGGCGCGGTTGCCTCCAAATGATAAATAGTTCAACTTCGGAGGAGAGCAGACGTTAACAGGGATGAGAGAGCACCTGATAAGAGGGATGTCGGCAGAGTCCTATGGTATTCCGTCCATGCATGCAATGACTCGCCTATAGAAGAGGAGTAGATGTAATCCATTCCTACCGTTAACTTCGAGTTCGCCTTCATACTCGGCTTTTACACCTATATCAGGAAGCATCTTATAAAAGTATAGTGAGTTTGAAACTTGAGAAGTTTGCTACCACATCGGTTTTGAATAATGTGAGGACGTCTTTTTCATTCATATGAGTGAGCAAACTAAGTCATCCCTCATTACCTTTCACCAGTGGCGTACCCAGGTTTTTCGTTCGGGGGAGGGGGGGGGGGATTTTTTCGGATGAAGGTACGTAGCGTTGGCTACGCACTCCGAAATGCTTCCCAAAACTTTTGCTGGCCCCTGAAAAAAAAATTTTCAAGGCTGATTTGAATTTTCAAAACATTTTGAAAATTATTTTATTTATTTACAAGTAAAGACAAGTCGCTTGCACATTTTTATAGCACATTTAAGTAACTACGAAAATTTCGCGACCCATCACCGCCTCGGTACCCACTATTTTTCACGCATTACTCACGGGTGAGGTAACTTAGGAACCCGAGCCTAATTAGGCCGACTCGGGAAGTGCCTGCAGGATACAGTCATGCTCGCAGCCTCCGATTGTTCCCTAGGACATGGCGACAATCTAAGCGCCGCCCCCTGTGAGCCTGGTTTGGAATCTTGCCAAGGAATGCTTATAATCCCAATTGAATTTCAGGTCACTGAAACTGGCGCCTAGCCAAATACCTTCAGAATGATCGTACGAAGGTCAAATTAGGCTCAAACGAAAAATCGTGCCATCATCATAAAGTATCTACCGATTGAAAATGATTGAACACAGCCTTTGTTTTTTTTCTTTTAATTCAAATCTTTATTAAAGTGTTTAATTACCGTGGAAAATTATTCAAGAAACTATCAAGCTATTTTGAAGTAATTTAAATGCTAAATCTGGGTAAAAGAGTAGAAAATCATTCGAGAAATGACGGTTCAATTCTCGCAAATAATAGTTATTTAAATGCTAAAATTTAGGCAAAAGATTAGAAAATCAATCAGGAAATGACAGCTCAACTTCACTATTGACACTGGTGATCAAAGATAGTCTGTCAATGACAGACGATTTTGATTTGTGAAAAACATCTGGCTAATATGCTGTAAGCAATGACCTCAACCTACGGCAAAAAAAGGTTGCAAGAACAGTTTGAGGCGAAATTTTCCTTATAAATAGCAGGGTAAAGGATGAAAACCATTACTAGATTACTGTTATTATAATACTTATTATATTACTTACTAATTATTATTATTATTATCATCATTACTAGATAATCTCAATTTCCCAGGTCTCGACGATGACTTGTATGCGCTCGAAATAGCTTAATGATCACTAATTCTGCATTTTTGCACGGAACGCGTCCATAAAAAGTCGATACAATCGCATAAATTTTGATCCACCCTTAAAAGTTGTCGGGGAAGTCAAGCGAAATGATGAGAGAGGCTAAGCCACACTTAACGGAGCATATCAACATCATTTTTTGACAATCACGGTTCGAAAGCTTTTTATATCTTTATTTGCAGGGAACTTTGATAGTTATAACTATTGAATGTTATTCCTCGAATGATTTTAACCGAAATCCAGCACTCAAATGAACTATTATTTTTGAGAAGTTCTTGAGCTGTCATTTCTTGAATAATTTTCTACTATTTTACCGAAACTTCCGCAAACAAAATTTTTGTTTTTGGAATTTTCTAAACTGTCATTTCTTGGTTGATTTTCTAGTGTTTTGCCTAAATTTCAGCATTTGAATAACTATTATTTGCGAGAATTGAACCGTCATTTCTCGAATGATGTTCTAGTGTTTTGCCCGGATTTAGCACTTAAATTACTTTAAAAAAGCTTGACAGTTTCTTGAATAAATTTTCCCGGTAATTAAACACTTAAATAAAGTTTCGAATCAAAAGAACCAAAAACCAAAGGCTGTGTTCAATCATTTTCAATCAGTAGATACTTTATGATGATGGCCGATTTTTCTCTTTCCTTTGAGCCTAATTTGACCTTCGTATGATCATTCTGAAGGTATTTGGCTGGCTAAGAGCCAGTTTCAGTGACCTGGAATCAAATTGGGATTTTAAGCATTCCTTGGCAAGGTTCCAAACCAGGTTCAGGGGGGGGGGGGGAGCTTAGATTGTTGCCATGTCCCAGAGAGCAATCGAGACTGCGAGCATGACTGTATCCTGCAGGCACTTCCCGAGTCGTCCTAATTAGGCTTGGGTTCCTAAGTTCCGTTCCCTATTACTCACTGCTGTAGATTGTTTCTGCAGGTGCTATATTTTCTATCCTGAGAAAAGAATTTGTTGCTAAGCCAACGCTTCGGTATAATATAAAATAACCGCTACCGTGGCAGACACGGTCTGCGCAAAGTATCTCCAAAAAAAGTTTTGAGACCTTCGTGCAAAAAAGATGTATTTTCGGCACAAAAAAGCTGGTTAAACTTTACTGTTCCTCTCTCCTACAATGAAGAATTCAAAAGAAGCCTCATCGGTACAATTTACCATGTTGTCCGCAAACCTTGCATGTGACTTACAAGGCGAAGATTCTGAGACGTTCATGGCTGCGGT